GGTGCTACATTACCAAACCTAGGATTAGAAACCTGAATAAACACTAAATCAATAAAGAAAAGTGAATGAAAATAAGTTTTAGAATCCTACCCAAAGTAACACCACTTCATTGAGATTTAATTCAAAAAAATATGGACATTTTCCATACCTTGTTTTACTATAGTTTCCTAAGAAGACTGAGTAAGGGAGGAAGAGAGATGAAGGGTTTGATCTTTCAAGATAAAATACTAACAGTTTAAAAGTAGAAAAAATTGATTGTTGAGGGATACAAGCTAAATTGATAGGGGAGATAAACTTAGGGTAGATGAGATGGTACAAAAGTTTTTCAGGGCCCTCATAAAATTGTTTAGTCAGAGAAAAAAAAAACTCACAGAAAACCGAGAGCCTCTGATAGAAGAGCATCAAATTAGGAAGGACTTTCCAGTGCAGGAAATGCTAGAGTTAGGTTTCTTGTTTTCCCTCCCTTTCAAAAAGCAATCCCAAACATTAAGGTCTAAAAATTTCCTTACTTCAAAGATCCTTGCCAATGAGACACATGAGTATTCCTCACATACCCTGTTAATGTCAGGGTCCTACTCAACTCAGCAGGTGAGGAGGCCATCTTGAGGCCTGTCCAAAGAAATGGGATTCATGAAGAGCTACTTAGCTACAAGTTGTGGATGGCATCTCTACCTCATGATATAAAAAGGAAACTGGAAAAGAAAGCAGGGGAAGAGTGACAGAATCAGAAGACAAAGTAGCTGTGGGTCTTTAAAGTCATCCACCCCCCATGTAAACTTTATACTTACCCCAAACGCCTGAAATCTTCTTTTTTGCCACCATAGTATAAAATATAGTCATTTACAAACTTTGTATGTCTTTGATACTGAAACACAAAAAATTAAGGATTTTATTCTCTTAGGAGTTGTTTGGTGTCATGATACATTACTGAGTGAAAAAAAGCATAATGAGTATATTTAGCTTTTTAAAAATATGCAAATATGAACCATACATGCTTATATATTCACAAATTCTAGAAGGGTTCATATTAAACTGTTAAGAGTGAAGACTGTAAAATAGAGAAGGGCTTTCACTTTCCACTGAATACTGTTCACAATGTTTTGAATATTTTTTAAGCATATACTACTCTTGTGATAAAATATATCTCCATCTGGGAAGAAAGAGAGCTTCCTATTCTATTGTTGAACTACATAAAGCCTCATACTACCACTCATCACAATACAAAAAATTTAAAAATTATAGTTTCTAAAATTAGGGTTAAGGAGTAGAATTTAATTTACCTTTCATTATTAGAAAATGTAATTTAGCTATTGCAATAATGGTAAAGCCTCTAAATAGAAGACGTAAATTTTATAATATTAAAGCCTAACGATAGGCTTTAAAAAAAAAAAAGCAAACAGAAGAAGTCAGATGTGGCTGGGCGTGGTGGCTCATGCTTGTAATCCTAGCACTTTGGGAGGCCACGGCCAGAGGATCGCTTAAGGCCAGGAGTTTGAGACAAGCCTGGGCAACATAGCAAGACCCCATATTTACAAAAAAATAGAAAAATTAGCCAGGAATAGTGGCATGTGCCTATAGTCCCACTTACTAGGGAGGCTGAGGCAGGAGGATCTCTTGAGCCCAGGAGTTTGAGGTTGCAGTAAGCTATAATGCCACTGCACTGTAGCCCGAGCAACAGAGTAAGACTCTGTCTCAATTAAAAAAAAAAAAAAAAGATCAGGAGTTCGAAACCAGCCTGAGCAAGAGCGAGACCCCGTCTCTACTAAAAATAGAAAGAAAT